AAGTCGTTGCTTCATTGTCCACGTCTATGAGCAAACTTATCTACCAAAATGCAACTAGAAATGGCCAAAACCGTTTCTCTAGCTTTTCTGCCTCTAATGGTGAGTTTATGATTTCCTATGCTATAGTCTTGTGTACAAATCCCGCAATTTCTTTGATTAGACTCATTATAGACGTAGATTGTTCCATTATGGTCGCCTTATATTTTATTTGTTAAAAGAAAAAAATGTTATCGTTGTCCTGTCGACTTGTTTTTTTTTACTGATATTACTATTTTGGGGGATTTTCCTAGTTTGCTTAGGCAGTATGCAAAGATTTTGGTAATTCTGTTGTCTGTAAGTCCCCTCTTCATTAGGTTTATTTGAATGGCTTTCGGTATCTTGCGTTTTATTGTATTTCCACACGATTTTGTGTCCCGTCCGTGCGATGTGTTCTGCTATTTCCGATCTTTCCGTTTTATATGAATTCTTCACACTGTTCAAAAGTCTGTCGTTCACTTGCTTGAGCTTCAAGCATATAATTTTGGCTAGTTTGTGTGTTGTTACATGTTTCTTGTCGACACTTAATCTCAGCGGATTTCCTACCTTGTGCACCTTTGGTAGTCCGTAGGCTGTCGGTGGTCTTGCCTCATTTTTCCTTAACAAATTCATCATCCATCTGTCGATTTCCCCATTTTTATGCATTTTACTTTGCATATTCTTCAATTTTGTTGATCTTCATTGTTTGATACTTTCTTACTATTTGATAACTGTTCCGGTCGCCTAGGCTACTTTCCTTTTTCTTCGTGTTCTGGTGTCTGTCCATTATCACCATCGCACCACTCTCAATCACCTTAACAACTATTTTGTCATTTATTTGTAATTTTTTAAATATCTTCATCAATTCACTCCTTTTAATGGGCTCTTTATGAGAAATAATTCTTGAGATTAATTCCATTTCCATCTCCCGTTTGGTCTCTACTGAATCTTTATTCGAAGAAGTTATCAGCATTTCGGAGAAATACCCAAAAGATACCAAACGGGAGACGGAAATGTGATTAATCTCAAAACTTCTTTCCAATTAAGAGCCAAAGAAAAGGAGTGGATTGATGAAGCTACTTAGAAAATTACAAATGAATGAACAAATAGTTCTTCTGGTGAATGCGAGAGATGTGATGTTGATAATGGAGAGGCATCAGAACACGGGAAAAATTAAAGGCATCCTAGGCGAGCGGAATACTTAAGAAAAAGTAAGAAAGTGTCCAACAGTGAATATTAACAGAATACTGAAGGAAATGTTAAATAAAATGTAAAAGAACGAAAGATTCGATAGAACGATGATAAATTCATTAATACAAAACGAGGCAAGAACCCCGACAGTATACGGACTACCAAAGATAGACAAGATAGGAAATCCGCTAACACACAAACCAGCGAAATGTATATGCTTGAAGCTTAAGAAAATAAGTAACAAATTCTCAAATACCGTCAAGAATTCATATGAATTTTCTGGTGAGGACGAAACTTTTGGTAAGTATCGACGTACAATACATTCACACAGGCATCTCAGGCTAGGAGGTGGTAAGCGCGCTGCTGGAGGTACGGGAGCGAGAAGAGGATATTCTGGAGGCAGAGCGGATATGCCTAAAGTCTGTGAACTGAGCCAGAAATTGCGATCTCTTCTATGAAAATGGAATATCAAGGCGTTAACAAAAGAGAAGACAACACTCTTCACAAGCTTGCCGACGCAACACGAGAAGGTTGACAAACTGAATGACTCGGAAATCTATAGCGTCAGAAGCAGAAGCATTTTGGTGAAAAAAGAGGATAAATCGGTCCACGAGCCAAGGAACCTCAAAGACTCTCCAGCAAAATGGACATGGAATAATCGAAAGTGGCTAAACACATCGCACGGATGGGAGCCGAAATCGTGTGGAAATTGACCGAAAAGCTGGCTGAATGTTGTGGAAATAAAAGAAAACACAACATACGAGAAGTCATTGATATCCTGATTGAAAGAAACACAATGAAGAGAAAACTTGAAGACGGCAGGATTGGCAAAACTAAGAAAAGCCCAGGGAATAGCAATATCAGAAAAACAATAATATTTTTTTCTTTTAGATAAACAAATTAGAAAAGGACCAGAATTGAATAATCGGAAACCAAGAGGAGACGTATACAATGAGTCTAATCAAAGCAAATGGAACCAAATTACTTTGGGATATACACTCGGTATTAGAGACTGAAAAGCGAGATAAACAGTTGTGGCCATTTCTAGTTGCCCATTGGTAGATACGTTTGCTCATAGACATGGACAATAAAGCAAGTTTTGACGACGAGAACTACTCGGTGATATGGGCATCATCATCATCCAGTCAGGTTAACATGCCAATTGACGTTAGCCAGATTTTAGGGTCTTGCTCAGTAAAGATCTGTTCTGTCACACTCTTTTTCAGATTATGCCAAGTGTTACTTTAGACTTTTTGACTTGAGTTGAAGCTCTTGAAAGATGAAAAGCGCCTAAAGAAGCCTTGACAATTCTTAGCTAAGATCGCAAAATCATGCAGAGCACTTACTAGATAGGACATATCTAAACATACGTCAAAAACATTTCATCTTGGCAAATTAATCTTCTCCAACTAACAAAACTCATCTAACTGTTTTAACATAAAATGTGCAATTTATATAGTATATACCCACATCTGAGTCTACCTCACGTTCCCATTGAAGTTGGCATAGTTTCACTTTCAAAAAGTTATTATCCTCCAGAATGGATTGGAATGTAGTTTCATACTCGTCTGAACTGGCCTCATCAACACCCTGAGCGGGATTCGAACCATGACAGTGCAACGTATAATCTCGATAAGTCATCCACTACACCATAGTGCCACAAGTGCCCTTGCATCTCAGGGCAAATGGCAATTTCAAGATAAGTCAGACAAATTTCCCAGATCGCAATCTGTGGTGGGAGTGTAGATGGAGCAAAGTGGCATTTGCCATGACATTCGACGACATTACTTATTTTTCGTTTTGAGTAGTATGTCGAAACTAGCAGTAGATCATATATGTGATGCGTATTCACTCTATTTCGTTTAAGGTAATAAAATGACTGGTAGTTGAGTTTACCCACAATGCTATGAGTACACATTACGATTACATTGAATGATAAGAATACTTTTTGGATAGCGAGGCTATGTGGAATTCAACGTAAACGTAAGGTCTACTCAAATCATTGTGGGAATAATCTATTACCAATCCTCTTATAACCATAAACGAAATATGCAGAATACATTTCATTACACAATTTGCTAATTAATGCTTTATTTTCAGAACTTTATGGGTGTTTATCTTAATCAGTAGTATATGAACAACATGAATTA